AAGAATAATGGTGTGCAAAAAAGTTTTTTCTTTTTGAATTGTCGTTCTTCGAATCCAGATACAAATACAGCAATTGTGGGACCAGAGCACTGTCACCAATCAGCCAGAAGGCTTGCGTAACCTACCCGTGACATTGCTACAGACCGTGGGACAGCTAATCACCGCAGCCACTGCCCGGATGTCCGTATTCGGCCAATCGTTATCTGGTTCAAGTGTACATCACGAAGAGAAGTGTCGCATGTTCGCACTGTTTATTGCACAGTTGATACATTTGTGCGAGAACCAGGTAAGTGTGTTCTGATTGCATATTTGGAAGGATTTAGTCGTGTAATACTTGTTCGTGGTTGGGCCTCAACACTGAGCAGGTCCTCGTAATCCACACCACAGTGACTGACTGGGTGCCATACAGATTTACCAGTGTCAAAGAAACTGGCAAAGTGGAGAGTCAGAGGTCGGATCCTCCGTTGACCGGTGACAAATCCAAAAATTCATCGTTATTTTTTGGGAAAGGCAAACATCACCAATGCATATCAGACCGATACGACATTGGATCTTCTACAAATGTTCATCTCCACCACCTCATTCCTGTAGTCGTCTGTAGAGACAGTTCACAGTTGTTAGACTCCCAGATCGTGATGCAATACATCAACCTGGTACCGTGGTATCTGAAAACCAAGTGGTATTTGCGTCTACATACTCTTCGTTTTTAACAATTTCATCGTTTAATGCCGTATATTTATTTTTCTGTACAAACCAGCACCAAGATGTTCGTTTGCGATATAGGATAGTTTATTCTCACACTTCTATTGTAGCACTGATTGCAATCAGTACATATTGAGAATAATCTTGTTATGCTGTTCAGAAATGCACTGTCGGATTCTTAAACCATTTTTACGTCTTACCTGTGTTAGCAGTAGATAGTAATGCTTGCTTCATTAATAAAAAAATTGATTCATCACTCAAACTAACCTGAGTGATTTCGCGCGGTTACTCATCATGAGTGTACCGGCAGTTACTTATTTTTTCTATTCGTGTTTCAATGTGCAGCTTAAGAGCATACAATTCCGCCTGAATGCTCATTCTCATTGAGATTGCATTCTCACCAATTCACTTTGGTTACGCTTGAACCCCCCGCCNCGTGATGCAGGGAATAGCAGAGTCGATTCAAGCATTGCAAGACCGGATCACCGTTTTCGTATCCGATTCTTGGACTCCGAACTCTGTCCCGCGTGACCAATGTCGTGCGGATCTAATCATAAGTTTACTTCAAGTTAGTTAAATGTGGTACAGTATCTTACCGTTCATCCCGCTTTTTACGCGATTTTCCCCTTTGGGGTATTGGTTGGCCTACTGACTAAAGCGGGTATCAGCTCTCCAAGNCAAGAATAGTGGTTGCTAGTTCATTCAATGTGGATGCTGAGCTGGAAATGAGTACCTGATCGTTCCATGAGTAGTTTCACTTAGCCATTCTAATATAGTCGAGCCACTTTTTGTATGATTTCAATGTGCTTTTGAAAACGTCTTTCTGTCTACCCCTATTCTCTGTTTTCAATTCAATCGTTCGTCGATTGCTGACTGGATAGGAATAGTCCTTGCCAATTACATGCAGAACAAGAAGTAGAGGACCTAATAATGGGTTGACTCTTGCATGGACTGTTACGTTTCGATGCTTAATGTCGTCCGGTTTACTGGTGTTCTGTTTCAATCTTTTTTCTCGTCCCATAAACCGGAATTTTGTCGACTTTCATTCAACAGTATGTTGTACCCTTGAAACAGTGAATGACTTCGGTTCTTTTAAGAACACTTGGTAGTCTTCGGGCTTTTGGTTTGTGGCCGATCTAAAGAGGATGCGTCAAAAGAGGTTGAAATTTCTGTCAGAATTCATGGCGATAATTGATATCATAATTGCGTAGCTAATCCATTAGTCACTAGGATGTTGCCCCATTGTGATAACCACTCTATGAATCCCTGTAATATTGTCAGGGGTTGGTGTATTCCCTAAAAATTGCTTTGTTTGGGAACAACCATGCAACTCAAACAACTCAGCTCAGGTTATTGGTCAACATCTCGAGCTGCTCGGGACGGTTAACACCGCTCCAGCCAAAAAGAAACATCATGATCACAGAATGTATTAAATGTAACTATTTCAGGAAATTACCGTGAAATAGTTGTATTTTTGACTACCGGGCTTAGTTTGACGGTTTCTCTTTTTCGCATACAGGGTTCTCGTTATCACATGTTCTTAACGTCTCTGGTTCGGTCGACCGAGTAGTGAGTGGTACAGTAGCTTACGAAATGAACGGGACCTTTGATCATCATTCAACTTTTGTTCATCTTAATTTCCATCGTTTACGGTTGTAGCCTTTTGCCCGTTGTGTGCTACCGATTAAATAATGTGAACAATAATTATCTGAGTTATGACAATATAGGTTCACATAGTTTGTGCATCAGGGCTCGGACACTCGTTACTCCACGCATGGATTCCTTGCATTTCATCATTCTGATCATAATGATGATGTGTGTAGTTTGATTATAGGGATTTGTTTTATCACTATTTTTTGTACATTCCATTCAGATTGCACAGAAGGGGTATTCCATCATGATGATGAACTTCAATTCGTGTGAAAAGCAGAGTGAGTCTGTTCGCTTGATTTATTTGGTTATTCTACATTGTGGTTAGCAAGTGATTCTTCTTTGAGTCACTTCTCGGTTGGTTTACTCCCGCCCCTTCAGGGTAACAAGTCCACAGATTTTCTCTCCCCCTCTTATGGTGCGATCAGGTCTGTACTTTTTCAAACCCTTTCGACCCCGAGGTTTAATCGAGTAAATTTGACACCTGCTTTCTTTTAAGAACTCTTAGTTTGGCTAAAAGGAATGCCACTTCGTAGTCTCCATTTCTTGTCTAGCTCAGAAAAATCCTGTGAGATTTCTCTTTATTTAACTTCGGTTTCCCATGGAAATATCTAAATGCCCCCCTATCGCATTCATCGGCTCTTAGCAGCCTTTATCACTTCTACCCGGTAATAGGTTCTTCATCGTAATAGTTGATACTGGAATGTTTAAGATTATATTTTTATCATTATACTCCAAAGCGTGATGAACAGTAGACGGGTTGGACCCTATGCTTACGAAGTTCTCTTGTTCAGTTCCAGAAGTCGGTCACTTGAACCCTGGGACTTGAAGTAGTGAAATACACAATACTATCATATAATCACTTCAGTGATCGTTCAAGGTTGGATTTTCTCAAAATCGCCGCCTGAGTTGCAAATTAGGATACTAGGTTGAAATGTCTATTTGATTCGAATTAATGTGTACATTTAGTTAAAAGATCTATTCCTTATTTGTTTCTGGCTATTTCATCACAGTAGCATCATCACGCCACTCCATCATCACGTACTTACGCACAATCATAGTGTTGTGTCTTCTGTGGTCAACTGGTCCTTCCTCTCCGTGGATGCTTTTTCCTAAGTGATATATATA